CTTTTTTCTGCTATTCTTCATCCGAATGGGCATCCAGAAGACAGCAACCAAAACTGGCGCACGAACATGCGTGGTTAATGGTTGTACAAACTGAACTGAACCGAACGGTGTCCGTTCACCAATATAAAGACATCATTGATCCTTCACATCACTGCTAACCGTAAACCAGTAGCAGTCAATAATAACCGAGGGTGAATGCAGCTAGCCGGGAACGATACATACTGGACATTGAATCAGACCAAACGCAAACAAGAGAACACTTGCAGCGGGGTTATAGGTTTAATACTACTAGCAATAACACTGGACCAATGATGCAGTACAAACACACGGAGAGAGAAAGAGACAGAACTGTCGAAACAGAACAACGGAATATCAACCAATACACAACCGTATAACATATAAATTGTAAAGCCATGATTAGGGATGCGTGGAAACAACTGTCCAGGTGAAATCGACCAACTGACCGAATAGTTTGCAACTGTTTGCGCCACTTGTTTGCCCGGTCTGTTCGGACTGTTGTGTCTGGTACGGGGGCTCGAGTATTCAACAAATGATGCAAGTAGGCGGCGTTCGCATGCAGCACACGAGCCAGTGTGACAGTAAGCTGCAACGCCGGTGCCAACGACTGAACATCACTAGTGGAGAGGACCGTTCCGTCCGTGTGATGGATCGTTTTTGGCCAGCTGCGTGTGAATGACTGTGCAAACTCGAGGGCGAACCGAAGCGGGATAACATTACTGCCCGCGGGCGATCGGATTCGGGCACCATCACGTAGACGAGATCGTCCGGAACCGTTATCACTCGATGTGGAATCGGAATCGCTGGCAGACGATGCGGAAGACAAGGCCGCGGTGATGGAGAACGAACGAGCTGATCCTTTCCGATCGAGGGATTGCATTGAGCCGGAACGAGAAAGAATGTGGGACAGGAAAACGGACTCCGTATCCGAATCTGAATTGCGCGCGGTACACAAGGGGGATGTATACGTCGATTCCCGTGGATGTGTTATGGCCTGTGTCGTATCATCCACTGAAAGGAATAGCAGAAATAATGAATACGGATACAAACATCATTATTCATGATGCTTAAATGAGCGTCATATTCAGTGTGGTGGTACCAACTGACAACTGCACAAATGAGGCAGGCGGTAAACGGGAATCACAAACAGTAGAATGAGCTGAGTCTTGTGACTCAATTCACATGCATTGGCCTGGACAACCTGGCAGTATTCAGCCCACAAGCTAATTATGGAACAGTTTTCTTTTTTATAAAAATTATTGTACCATGATTTGCTTGGCACACAGTCTGTCCCCAGACAAGTGTGAAATATATAATTGTGACTCAATACATTATCTCCAATGGTCTATTGTAAAAGTAATTAGATAACACTTTCATCATATGGATCTGAACACCCGGTTACCGTATCCATTTTGATACGATTATCTAACCAAAGAAGAACAACCCAGATGGGCAACACAACTAAGCCTAGAAATCACGAACGGCATCCTGAGAACCGCTTTCACATCAGATTCTGACTAGTAGATTGCGTTGGTTAGAACAATCATTGGGATGCCTATCAGCGGTATATCCCACTGGGTCTCACTTGTTGTTCCTGTTCCAGAACGGAAGAAATCATGCGGTCAGCAGATTATGTGGCACAGAGACATGAAGAAATGCATAACGCGATTACATAGAGTAGTAGATGTCTCACCAGTAGCCCAGATTGTGGCACTCTCTGTAACTGGTTTGGTGGAGACCAAAGGCGAGAATGCTTGAAAATGTGTACATGCACAATGGGAATATGTACTCAGGGTATTGTGATCACCTCCATCCCCCCTCCCGTTCCTCAAGCGGGTCCACACCCTTACTACAGTGCATATTCGTTCTTACTTCGTTGCATACAATCAGAACTTAGCTGCGATCAGCTAGGTTCGTTTTAATGATGAATAAACAGTCGTGGACGATTTTGGGGCAATAATCAAGGGCGTGTTGGGTGTTCCTTATCTTCTTCTAAAACGCCACAATACTGTTGTTCAGTGACCAACAGTGT